TGGGAACCTCGGCAAGAACACGAAGCTAGTCTTCTAGAACTCTGCTTCAGATCAAATCCTATCCATTGCATAAATGGAATACATGAAAGTACTGCATTTAACACTCTTTGTAGGCCAGCTAGATCTATCCAACCCATATTATATGGGGTTTTTTATGTTTTGCAATTACCTGGAGATCATCTTCAGCTATGGAGGTTCAAAGTTAGTTCTTTGGACTACTCTCTTACATCCATTCCCATAGAATCTTCTTTTCCTGTTGTTTACTTTTGATGTTTGTCTAAAAGCCTCAACCTATATAAAGTATTCTACAAAAAGAGTTCTGAAAGTCTATTAATACATTCCCTTTAGCATTCTCTGCATATATTTCACACTTATCTTTAGAATTGAAGCAGTCTTTTTAGTCTGTGCTAGTACAAGACACAGTCTAATGGAATTCCAAAGATGAATACCCCTCAAAGCTTCCAGAGCCCTCATCCAGCAGGCCCTCTATCTTACTGATACCACCTGATGCTCTGAACAATGTTTTTCCGATTTCTAGCAGCCGTATTTACAGACGGATTACATTTGGTAGTAACTGCCATGGATAACTTTCCTTCAGTACTCCTTTTAGGATTCCTGATGGCAGTTGCTTTCCCTTGGTCCACACTTCCATCATCTGTGTGGCTTGCAGACCGTGGAAGCCCCACCAAAGCCCATCTTGACATGCAGTGGCTAAACAGCCCCAGCCTGGCCACCACTGTTCAAATCTCTCATCTTCCCTGACACCTTGCCTCACTCCCTCAGCTACATAGGTACAGCCAGCTTTTTGCAGCAGTATGTGGTGATCTGGATAAGGGGTTAAAGATTGTGGTTAAGGTTGGGCTGAAAATGTTTACAGTTTTTTAATTAAAAAGGGCATGATTATCAAAGTTACTTTAAAATTGAAGTCATCTGCCCCAGCTCTTGGACGTGGGGCATTTTATGGCTCCAGGGACATCTGTTTGTATAACTGAGAGGGTGGTACAGAGTCAGTATCTGCTGCTGATAGAAATGCCTGTCAGACTACGAGCTTAGTGTCTTTGCTGAGAGAGGTGTATTGACTTCTCTGGAAGGATTACTCCCTTGTTCTCAGCCTGCTTGCCAACTGGCTGTTCCCTTCGTCTGGGCTTCTGATACTCATGTAAAGAGTGGTACAAAACCCTGGTTTGTGTGCAGTGCATGGTCTCTGTTCTCTGCAGATAAATCGTTCTGACACGATGCAGCAGTAGCAAGCTGCTTAGTCTGACCAGCTTCTGTTATCTGTTTCAGAAGCTTCAGTGGCCTTTAACTGTTTCATCACAAATAATTTCTAACAAATCCACAAGAATACCATGCAAGAAGGAGGAGTAAAAGTTTTGATCTATGTGCTTACAATCAAAGCTACACATTGGTGGGCAGTATGAAACATCCCTTAGCTCCTTCCTCAACCAGCAAACCAGTGATCATCTATGACTCTTCAAAGGACACAATCCCCAGACATTATATGACCAGTTCACTTCCTCACATTACTCTGAGACTCTCCCCTCACATCACTTGTGAAACCATTAGCCAAGCCTTCTAAACTGTATCACAGAAATATTTTTCCTCAGCTGGGAACAAGTATACTTCTCAGAACAATCTCAGGATGATTTGATCCTACTCCTTTCACAGAACTGAAACTGCTCTTTTCTGAGAGGACTCAAGTACCAACTCCTTTCTCCTGACCCTCTTCAGCTGTTGACTGTGAAATTCTCCTTACTTACCTGGCACTTTTACAGAGATTGGTAACGCATCACTATACTTACTTGCTTCCAACATCTTTTTTCCTGTAATTGACAGTAGGTGTCTTTCCACAGAAAAATAGCTCTGTGATGTTATGGCTGGATATCCAACCCTGTCTGTACTCTGCTGCTTTGCCGTCTTCTCTCCCACATGCAAGTCCTCTCAGAAATGACAACCTCAAAAGCACATCCTCTGTCAAGAAAAAGTTCCACAGTTATTCCCTTTCCTCGGTGCAGATCAACACAAGTTTGCTGAGAAATGCTGCCTGACGATCACAAGCTTCTGATTTGAATGCACTTACAGATTTCTTTCTGGAATCTGTACCTGCTTAGAGTCAGTTTCCACCAGCTGCAATGAGATTTCAGGCTCTAAAACAGCACCCTCATGAGAAGAAATTTTAATGGCACTTAGGCAGAAATACATAATCTTGATTTTATCATACCTGAAGTATTTAACAAGCAATACTTTAATAAAAATGTCACTAAAACAACTCCAAATATTCTGTTTGTCCTTTAACATTAGTCTTTGCCCTCTCAACAGCTCTGCAGTTTGTCTCATGAAACTCCTACTATCTTGTTACCTCATTATTCCCTTCTAAAATTTTATCATTATAGCCCACTTCACACCTCCTCTACCATACTGAAAAATGCTCCTGTGACCTATGGTGCATTTTATAGTTCTAGTTATAGCTATAGAATCAAACCTGCAAAATCTACACCCTGGTCTGCCCGTGACATGTAGGTCACCTTTGGCAGGCCCCCAATTTCTTTAGGCTTCAGTCTCACTAGCCATAAAACTACTTTGTTTTTTGAGATTTATGGTTGAAAACCACAGAATAGAGCTATATATGTTAATACTGCTTATGAAGAGTTTTCAAGTGTGCTGCAATCTCTTTGAATGACTGAATCCATGTAGAGATTAATTATATCTCGTAGACCTAGAAATAAAGTATCTCTAAAGGGCCCTGCTGGACAGTGCCTATCAACCAATGATCTAACATACTTTCTGCATCTTCCACCCACTTACTCAATTATTCCTGGATGAAGAGGAATAGATATGAGGCACCCATGCATCTCCAATCTGAAATAAATTGCTATCTTTTAGTTCTTTGCTATGGAGGTCTAAATGATGCTAAATGCATTTAACCTCCCTGTGGCGGGTTGTCTTTCCTTTCAGAAAAAGAAATTTAGCTCAAGCCTTCTCCCCTCCAATTTCTTCGCAAATACCCTTGACTGCATTCAGCTGGGTGCAGGGAGTGGAGACCAAAAGAACTGAAGCTCTGCCTGAGAACATTTGCCACCCACACACTGCAACAGTGTTCAGGAGCTAAATCTTATTTACGAGGCTTAGTTTCGTTTCCAGTCCTTTGTGCCAAAAATCCCGGTGCATTATAATTTGTACACATGGGTGGCCACACAGTTTTGGCATTATTTGCTACGCACTAGCCCTCTCTTAATCTGGTCTGGGGTCTATAGACATACAACAGTTGCACAAATGTGTGGGAGCGTGGATATGACAAACGACATCAGGAGATGCATGTAGAGACACATTCAACAGGCAATAAAAAACATCAGAGAACTCTTAAATAAGAGACATTGAAATAGCACTGAAAAATGTATTAACTGTATTGCAACATTTGAGCACGAGCCCAGAATTGGAAGCAAACAGCTTGCTTCGAACATTTCATCAGGCATGTTTCTCCGTAGTAAGCAAAGCTAAAAACCTAGCCAAACTATGGGTAGCCAATGCCCTTTGGACTAATTTGGGATGAAGACCAAACACATTTTGGTGCTCAGATATCTTTTGAATAGAAGGCAAACAACTCTGGGTTTTGTCAATATATGTTTAGGCACAGGTTTTGAAAGAAAACTGATTCACTACCTTCATTCATGTTGAATTATATCAAATCTAAAATTTACTCTGTACCTTCATTCACTATCCTCACTCACCTGAAACGCTTGAGAGTGGTATTACAGTAACTCATTTCTCCAAATGAGAATGTGTGCATGTGTCACTTTGACGTGGTAACACGTCTGACATGGGACCAATGCCAATCTCAAAGGAGTGCCATATGCGCTTTAGTTCTATTGTTTACATAAATTATCTCATATATACTTGGGAAAGATTAGCATCTCTCTTTTGCAACTGTATTTGCCGAAAACGGGCTGCGAAGGTAAAGAAGAGAATCCGAGTTCTGAATGCTTGCCAGGAAAATGTAACTCTATCCCACCCACTGCTCAAGGTAAAGAGTAAGAAACGTTCATCATTTCTTTCATTAGTTCTGTCCCACCCCGAGTCTCCAAGTGTAGTAACACAACAAGCCTCAAACCGTGTCATGAGTAACTCTATAACCAGCATAGGGTCACTAAACAAACTGGAGTATCTAGCCTGATTACAAAGTATCATGCTTATAAAGCAGCGTTTCAAAAAACGCTGCCAAGTCTCACGGCTACCGCGCTTGGGAGCTTTGTGCTACTTGTAAGCTTCCTCGCTTAAATCTTTGCTACAAGGACCGACAGCGCCCGTCGGACGGGTGGGATGTCTGGTGCCCAAGGCCAGATTTGGACGCCCGACGTCCAGGTTTGGTGCCGAGCCTGGACTCGGAGAGCACCGCTGGAAGGTCCCAGTCACCGAGTTTAAACTCCCTTCCTCCGCGCCTCCCCCGTCCCGTTCCCTTCCTATGAAGCCGAAGTGAAGGCGTTGTGCGGTCGCTTCCTGGATGCTCTTCCCCCATCCGCGCCCCCCGCCCCGGCCCGAGGGCGCTGCCGCAGCCAGCCCCTTCCCTTCGCCGCTGCCCACCGAGGAGGGAGGGCGGAAACAGGCAGCCCCGCGGGCGAGCGGCGCGGCGGAGCTGGAGGCTCCGTCCCCGGAGACGGGTGAGGGAGGACGGGCGCGGTGGCGGCGGGTGAGGTGGGTCCCGCCTGAGGGAGGAAGTCCCCGCCCGAGGGCAGAGGAGCGGCCGCTGCCCGGCAGCGCCCCGGGGGACGGAGCACTGCCGCCCAGGGAGCGCAGCTGCCCGGGCCGCACGCGGCGGGTACGGCAGCGGGGCCGGCCGGGCTCACGGCTCCTCCCGCCGGAGCGCTGGCCGGGCCGGGCCGGGGGCGGAGGAGGCGGGGAAGGGGGGAGCGCTTGCCGTCACCGAGGCTCCCGGCTCACTCGGCTTCGTCGCCGCGCGGCAGCCCCAGCCCCGCTCCCACCCCCCTCGCCTGCCCCACCCTCCTTTCCTTTCTCTCGCTTTCTCGGCGAGAGCACTGTGCCTCCCTTCCCAGATGGCAGCCGGCAGCGCCATGCAGCCTCTCGTTCCTCCTCCTCCTCTCCCTCCTCTCCGACTCTAAGTTAATGCCATGCTGCCGCTGCTCTTCCCGGCACTGCTGGCCGCCTGCCTGCCCGCCCTGCCAGGGCTGGAAGCCCCTCGGCGGCTGCCAGCGGTTCAGGAGGAGCAGGAGCAGGAGCTCTTCTTGCCCCCTGCCAACTCCTCCTCCCGCTCCTTGGCCAGCCTCGAGATGGACCTCGACGGCGCAGCGAGCAAGGAGGAAGGGAGCACCGACAGCCCGGGCACGCCAGCTGCCCCTAGCCGAGAGCCTTTCTCTTCCACTCCCACCTCCCCCGGGCAGCAGCAGCAGCGGGAGCAGCAGGAACAGCAGCAGCGTCCCCAGCCGCAGGGGCAGCCGCAGCCCGCCGAGGACCCGCACTGCAACATCAGCGTGCAGCGGCAGATGCTGAGCTCGCTGCTGGTGCGCTGGAGCCGCCCGCTGGGCATCCAGTGCGACCTCTTGCTCTTCTCCACCAACAGCCACGGGCGGGCCTTCTTCTCCGCCGCCTTTCACCGCGTGGGGCCGCCGCTGCTCATCGAGCACCTGGGGCTGGCGGCCGGCGGCGCTCAGCAGGACTTGCGCCTCTGCGTTGGGCTGTTAGCTGGGTGCGGGGCAGGCGGGTCGGCCGCCTGAGGGCACCGCGCCCCAGCCCGCTTGCCGCCGCTGCTCTCCTCCTCCTCCTCGCTGTCCTACGCGCCGGCGGCGGAGCCTGGCAGTACTGTGCAAGGGGAGCCGCTGAATTTCTGCTGCCTGGATTTCAGCCTGGAGGAGCTAAAGGGCGAGCCGGGCTGGCGGATGAACCGCAAGCCCATCGAGTCCACCTTGGTGGCGTGTTTTATGACTCTGGTCATCATCGTGTGGAGCGTGGCCGCCCTCATCTGGCCCGTGCCCATCATCGCCGGATTCCTGCCCAACGGGATGGAGCAGCGCCGCGGCACCACCGCCGGCACCACCACCGCCGCCGCCGCCAAATAGCCTGTCCCGGTGACCCCCCTTCTCTTCGTCGTGTGCTGTGGAGGGACGCGGGACGGACTCTGTCGTGTTTTTGTTGTTTAAAGCGTGCCACAGGTGCGCAGCGGGCCGCGGGGCCGCCTTAGCACCCGGCCGGCCCTGCCCGGCTCCGAGGGGAGCGGCCCCGAGGGGACCTGTGTGCGCGTTTTATATCTTTAATACCCGTTTTAAACGAACCTTTTGGTAAAAAAAAAAAAAAAAAAAAAAAAAAAAAAAAAAAGGAAAGGAAAAGTCCACCCAAAAAATCAAAGGAGGAACTCAGAGAACCTCCTATTTGGCCATATTTATTGTCATCGCAGTAGCGTTTTCATATAGGATAGAGTTTGAGTGGGTTTTTCTTTTGTGGACAGAAAGGGACATCTCTCTTGGCAGGACAGAGAACTGAAGCGGTATATATATTGTTATTGCTGAAGCTGAACTTTAATGAATCTTTTACACTGTATTTACCGGTTGAGATAGTGTGTATTTATTATTGTAGCTCTGCGTTATTTGGCTTTTAATACAGAGATTTTCTTTCTGGAGCCACTGTAGCCTTTTGTGGGTCTGTTTCCGCCAGGGTGGAATGGAGGTTTTGGCTGGCCTTCCTGTCTGCAAACCTGCCACAAAGCTCCCCATGAGATGGTGTTATCAGGGTTGTTGGTGGGAAAAGGGGAACCCCAAACCCTTTCTGCATGGTGTTTCCCCTGTCCATACAGTAGATGTGGGTCTGTATGCCTACACCAGGGTTGGGTGGAGTGGGGTGGGGAGTTTGGTTGTGCCAGAGATTCTCCAAGGCATTTTGATCTGCACCGCTCCACAGACTACAGCTTTCTCCTCAGTGTGAGGTTAAGTGGCTTCAGTCCTGGGAAGATGAGGCCCACGCTTTAAGGTGCGCTAAAAGCAGTGTGGGGGCAAGTCTCTGACTTCCACAAAGTTCTTTCCTCAAAAGCAGCTTGGATGCAGTGTATTTGTTGGAGACATGGTAATACTGTACCTCTTTTTCATTTGCCAGCCTGCAGGGTTGCTCACAGAAAGTCTTTGGGGTGAGAAGGCAGAAGGTGCCAGTCCAGGACTAGATTCCAGCTGCTGCTGTGCAAGCATGCAAAGAAGAAATATTTTTTCTCTCTTGTTTGAGCAGACAGTTGTGTAGCCTAAAATATCGTTTGTTGTATACTTCCAACTGTTTAGCCTTATAAGAAGTTGTTTCATGATAAGTCCAGCTGAAGTTTCTAAAACCAAAATATGAGCTAAGTGACAAATATTTGCAACAGGAATTCTCATTCCTTTGCCAACATCAATGAATTTAATTTGTTAGGAACACACGAATTCACTTGGGCCTAATTCAGTGTATTTGTAATGTTTTCTTCCCAAGGGTTTGGTGGAAATGACTGGATGAAAAGTCTGGAAGGATTAAATTCTTAGGATTCCTATACTTTTTAATTGAGAACAAAATAAATTAAATGCATGCTCTATGTTTATGCTATCTGGAAAAAACTGCAGAGAGAACAAAATTGACAAGCAGCAGAAATTAATCAAGATTTCAAAATGCTCTATGTCACAGGGCTGCCTCCATACCCACTGTTTCTCCTATTGATCTTGATGGGGTCATCGTTTGAGTAAATATTGCAGTCACTGTGAGAAGTGTTCACTTGACATCTTGATTCAACGGGCACCTTCCCCTAAAAGCTTAGTTTACAGAATCCCTGTTTTCTTTCCTTGATGTGAAAAACAGTGTAATTTCCACCTTGTGCAAACTCTTGTGCACAGACATTTGACATGCTAGAGAGCAATCTTTTGCCTATCGTGCCCTGTGTGACAGAGAAACCTCTTCATAATGAAAAGCAAGGTTAGCAAGAAAACATGATGATAATGCTAACAGCCTCCTGAAAGAGAAATGTTTTACATATGGAATAGACCTTAGAAGAGTTGCCATGCTAGGAAATAATTTCTTCTTTTGAATGAGATGCTTTTAGGCAGAGAGTTAAAAATTTTAATTGGAAGTTTTTCTGGCTTTGTAGTTCAAAATGTATAGTCCTCGCTGTCATGCAGGCAGCCTGTGCTCAAACTCAAGGTTGGAATCTCTTTTTTTTTTTGCTTATCCTTGTTTCACCAGTGACCTGCTATTGGTTGTTGGATTTTTTTTCCTTTTTTTTTTTCCCTGAATTGCATCAACATAATGTCAGAAATAGGCAGCTTCAGCTATTAAAGGTTTATTATTTGCAGTTCTTGCAGACACCTACAAGGTGATACACCGCAACTGGTACAAAATGGCTTTTGTTTTTCTAACTTCTATCAATATCAGCTTGAATATAAACTTCATGAATAGGTAGCGACACACTCTGAATATTTTGCTGCTTCACTTATAAAATGTGATAGAAAAGAGGGATTTACTCATAGTTATTCTATAAATACACTTGTAAGTGGAGCTACTATTAAAAATTTGATAAAACATGAAATGTTTGAAACACAAGGATGGCATTAAAAAAAAAAGCAAACTCCAAAGGCAAATCTTGTTCAGAATATAAAAAACTGGAACGTTTTCAGGGATTACTGATCTCAGACACAATGTGCAAAGAGCACTTGTGTGTTAGGGAATGTGTTTCCGTAGATCACAGTAACCATGGGGGTAAGCATGCTCCTATCACAGAGAGAGGCCAGTCTGTGTTTCTGTGCCTTAAAGAGGAGTTTAAGGCACAGCAGAGGGCACAGAGATTACCTGATGTGGAGGCTTTAGCCTGGATCTAACTCCCTGAACCCTTGGGTTTCAATGAGATGGCAGCAGGGCTTCTCCTGTAAAGAATAGAGTGGAAATGCACAATGCAGATCGTGAGCTTTCTTCAGTCTCTGTTATATCTAATATCAATAACTCTGCTCCTATAGCTGTGGCTGCTTCTATGACTCTAAGTAACCTAAAATTTTGAGTAACTTTTGCCCACATCCATTGGAATTTCATCTGAATCCAATCCAGAAGAGGCAAGCCCAGGGCAATGTGAAACAATACATCTGCACACCAGCTAGTTTTAGGGTCCAACTTTAGACACTGAAATGTCTATTTGTTTTCTTTTTCACTGGCAGTGGAGCTTTATTGTCTCTTTGCTGGAGTTGATTCTAAGCCATTTTTATTCATTTGGATTTATTTTTAAGACCTGCTGGTAGCAGGGCCAGCACGAGAGCAGATGAGTCACCATATATAATCCTTTATGTACTCAGGGAGGGCATACATATGTATATATCTATCTATACATGAGGATTCACTGTGTAGAATAGAGAGTCAAAATAAAAAGGACAAAAAGGATGGTGAGAAACAAATAATACTGAGCAAATAATACTGGTTTTCTTTCCCTATTTGTTGGATCTTGTTTCCTGGTAAGTTATCCTGACTTTATTTATGTACAAGTGTTTGTGGAAAGCAAGGGATACCTAGAAACAGAGGTAGTTTCTTGGTTTTCTTTTTATGTAATTCAACTATATTACAGACTATTTTTTTCATTCCAGGAACCAGGAACTCTCTCCAGACACAGATTCAGTGTTAGAAGGTATTAGGCTTGTCTGCTACTGTTAGAATTTTTTCTGTATATTCAGAACTCAGAATTTAATCTCTCTCCCTCACCTATTTTCTTAGTTAAGTTTCATAGGTGTGTTAGAAGCAGAAGTATACAGAGTCATATGTAGTTTTAGCATGGACACAGTTTTGCCGTTACTTGGTGCCACACCGATTCCAATAACAAAAATATAAAAATGTAGTGCAGTATAATAATAGTTATATATTATGTAAGCACACTGTTGTTCAATAGGTTACCAGTAATTGATCATTTTTTGTCTGTCAGGAGGTATGTGGATATATGGGACAAAATTACCTTACTTGGTTAAATGTGATAGTTCTTACTTATTCAGGGCTTAGTTCACCAGTGCTTTCGATGATTAACGCAACAGCAGGACTATTTGTGCAGTGAATATTACTCAATATGAGTAAGGGCTGCTGAACCAGACCCTAAAAAAAACTAATTAAAAGCTGTAGTTGACTGAATAAGTATTATTCATTGTGACATCCGCTTGCTGAATAAAAGTATCTCCAGGGCTGACATTACGTGATCCCAGAGGCTGAACAAAAGCCAAGTGAAATCAAACAGTTAATTGAAGTTTTGTATGACTGGAGATCAAAGAATTTATTTCAAGGATATATATCTAGATGTATGAGTAGGTATGACGTTCATGTTCCTCTCTGGCTTTTATAAACATAGTTAATAAATCCAAAGCCAGGATTTCTCAGTTCGGTGTAGGGCCTTGCCTGTTTGGAAATTAGCTTCTTTCTGAAGCTAGTGTGAAAATGTCAGTTATTTTTCAAGGAATTTTACTGAATAAATGTAATTTTTTTTCCAATATATTTCAAGGAGTGGCCTTGACTTTGTAAAAAACATTTGTAATGATTCCATGAAAATGTGTAAATCTCAAGTCCCATATGTATTCAGATTTCAAAGCATAAAAAATCTTTTTAATCAGTAACTGAGTTTTAAAAGCATATTTTTAAACAAAAAAATCAGTTTCCATTTTTCTCCTCAGAAGTAGAACGTTTCAATGAAGATCAGAAGTGCACTTGAGTGTTTCACGTTGTGATTTTGTGTGGAAAAAAAATTCCCTTGTGTGATTTGAAATTGATAACAGCTTGTGACACATAAGGTACTATATTTCTTGTCCCATCTTCATAATATTTCTGGTAAAATAAGTTGTCCAAAACAATTGTAAATAATAATAATATTATTAATAATAAAGCAGCTCAGCCCATTTGTTTTGTTTCTGTTCTATTCTACCAAGGGAGAAAGCAGTCTGGTATAAAATTTGGGATATTCAATATGTTTATTGGAAACATGTGGATGGTGTTTAATTAGGTTTGTGACCAGGCTTCAGTCTCACAATCCAAACATCTTCCAACTTTTTGTAAAGTTTGGGTTCTAACTGAGTGTAGCAGTTTGAGCATTTATATGTCAACCACAGTCTCTGGATCTGCATGTTGGGAAAGCCAGGATCTAAAACCTTCTCTTATTTTAGGTTTCTTATTATCTTGGCAGGTTAGCAATCTCAGAGCAAAATCGAGGAAAACTGAAAGGTGCAAATATCCTATGAAATGCTGTGTGTTTCTGTGTGTTTGACTTGCTCTTAGCTTTCATAGAAAACATAAGATTAAGAAGATATAAATTAGAGATCAGTGCTGTCCTGAGAAAGTGAATTCCCTAAGAGTGTGAAGTTAAATTGTGTTTTGTTCCTTGTAAGGTGACACTTGTTAGATACAGTGAAACTGTACCTTGTTGGTGTCATTCTGGGTGTTGCTAAGCAACATGAAGTAGTTAAAATGGAAATACAGAAGAAGAGCATGGAGGAATAAAGGAAACAAGGACATAGAAAAAGCATAGAAGAGAGTAAATGTGCCAGCACATCCTGCAAAGAAGTTGTGAACGCCAACTGTG